AAAAGTGATGTGCATAAATCCACTTTTACTCGCCTATGTCGAAATATATTCTTATTTTTATTTGTCGAAACACGGAAAAAAGTTCTCAAAGATTCTGGGTGAAATGAAGGTATGTGATTATGATTGAAAACGTGAAATTGTAGCAAATTAAATGCGTGAATGGAATATAAAGTGTTCTATCGAAAAAATCATACTGGGAGTCCAAATATATTTTCCTGAATCTGTCAATTTCCCTTCCGAAGTGATATCCTCCCAATATGGACTACCGGATATATTCATTTCACTAGAACTGGATTGGATTCATATTATTTTTATTTGATCCAGCCGTTACTTGATAAAAATCCAGAGTAAATGTAAAAACTTCACAAACGTTTCTTGTACCAGTATTTGCAGTATTTCACCTGAAGAAGCTACTGTGTTAGCGAAATCTGTCGTGTGATCAAGAATAATATTGTGGTTTTTGGATATCTGTGAAGTTCTCATATTGAATTGAATTAGGTAATAAGCGCTGTTTTGAAATATTTCAATTCGATAGAACGCATGTTAACTGATTCAGTTCAGTTCTAGTAAGATACAGTTAGTCCTGACTCACATACTGGTCTGAATTACCAAGATGAACCCATTCGAAGGCATTCCTACCTAAACCATCGAAGAATATAACCAGGCAGATCCTAGAATAGAACAAGGGTAACCTGCGAGCGAATTCTGACAGGCCTTATCCCAGACAGCACCAGATATTCCATGAATCTCCCTATCATATTCCTTTTGGAATATTGGAATATTCTAGAAATAATCTGAAATATTCTGGAATATCTGTGGAATATTCTCTAAATATGCGAATGGGAATTCCTCAGATAATCATAGAATATACCCAAAAGAATATTCTATGTTGAATGTTCCTGGAATATTCCAATAAACATATTTTAAAATTAAAAAAAGTGACCCAAGTAGGGATCGAACTCGTGACCTCAAGACTATCAGAGCAACGCCTTGACCACTAGGCCAGTAATCGAATTGAATAATGTTATACATATCAACTTCTTGTGAGAGCATTGTTCGAAATCGGATCATAAACACTTTTTGTTTCAAAATCCCCTTACATCTAATTGATGTTCGATACTCATATCACTGAAATAATAAATGGTATTTATGTGTTGAGAAACGAAGGAATATTCATGGAATATTTCATGAATATTCACCACCGAATATTCGTTTGAGAATATTTCATGAAAATACCGCACAGAATATTCAGTTGGGTATATTTCATGAATATACCGCACAGAATATTCAGTTGGGTATATTTCATGAATATACAACAGAGAATATTCAGTTGGGAATATTACTGGAAGATTCATAACTGAATATTCCCTGAACATGTCCGACTATTCACTTTGGAATATTCCTTCTAGATGTTCCAGTGGCATGTATATATTATAGGAATAATCGATGAATATTCGGAATATACTCCTCCTTTTTAGCATATTTAGAGAATATTCTATGAATATCCAGTGCTGTCTGGGATGCTTGCAAGATACTGACGTCTAAGATACAACCTATATAGGAAGGAAGAGTGTGAACCAACAAACGGCTGAACACATATGTTCATGCTCTTGCATAGGTAGAGAAAGGTTCGACATATTTGGCTTCACCAATTCAGAACCTATCGATTCTGAACACACCTCATTCAACCATGGAACAAAAGTGGATTGTACAGGGAACTGTAATCTCTAGGCCCCAGTAGACCCATCTGGGGTCGCAGTGGAGGGGCGGAATTCGCCCCAGTCATGTGGAACCTAACCTAATCTGATATGACCTGATGCCAAAACGAGAAAAAGTTAGAAAGGTTCTGGTGAGCCACCCTGTGTATAATTTCTGTATACATATGGCGCATATATGGAATGTTTGAGAAGTGGATTGGTGATGATATGTGCTGATATTCAAATATGTGTTTGTGTATGATTTGAGGATACCTGGTATTGTCTATTCCTTCCATCAATTACTATACCTACTTAATCATGAATTCGAAGAATAAAAATCGAGAATAGGATATATTCGAAATAGAGTTCTGATAGGTATAATCATGTTTTCAGATTCATTCGTTGTGAAACCCTATGAGATTTTTTAAACAATCTTTGAGGCTTGGTCACAGCTTACCCGAAATTGTGGTATTTTGAGTATCTGATAATCTGAAATCGTTCGATGTACAATTGAATGAAAATATTTTTGTTTCAATAGAATTCAAATACAAGTCTTCAGGTCAAGATTAAATGGTTCAGAAAGGAACAGCTATAGCAAAAGTACAGTGACTCTATCCTATGAAAATGTTCGAATTTCAACTGTCAATCATTATTTGTTGTTTAAAAATTCTGGAGTGTCATGAACTGAAAGAATCATTGATGAAATAATACAGTTAATTCCTGAACTTCTCGAAAGCTCTTCTCACGATCTGTCGCCAAGCAACGTGCTTTAGAGAATCATGATCATTGCTATGTATAAAACAAGTTGCGAAATAGGCTGGTTTTCTCGCACTAGACATGCAGAGCAGTGAGTATTCTTGTTCTTCTGCAAATTACTCGGCGTTCTGATTTTTGTATTTCAAATAACTCAATTCGAGCAATCATTTAATCAAATCATCCTTCGAAATGTTAATTCTGGAATATTTCATGCCATCTGCCATAGATGTCGTTTTTTACATGTTGCCATGAGCTATTGTCTTCGAGTAGATTAATGTCGTTGTCGGGTTTTCGTTGGAGCAGGATTCACTTCATATGGATTGCTACTTGATCTCCAATAGCCCAAACGCCGTGGTCTGTAGGCGACAAGCATAACCTCTGGCTACAATTCAGAATCAGTTCAGCATTTAGGAATGAAACATAAAACACTTGCAATCAGTACTCTATGATTTCGAAGGAATGTGATTGAATGTTATGCGTGGTATAAGCCTGGAAAGTAGTTTTTCTTACGTCACTTACCTACCATTATTGTTCATTCTATTAAACACTTGTGGAAATAAGTTTTTCTTTCACTGTTTCGAGATCAATCAGATAGTATATACATATATTTTTTAATTGTGTATTCGAAATTGGATGGAACTGTGTTCTGAAAATCGGATTTAGATCAATTGATTCTAAGGTATTGTTGGTATATATACAAAATGTTTTACACTGAATACTTTTTGTACCTATAGGTACGTATATGACTATACAGGCTGACACATTAGACGTTTCTGGAAAACGCAACTCAGGATTATTCTGGAAAGTTGGTGCCTTGGATAATTATTTGTGCTCTATCGACCTAAAATATTCTCAGTGTTGCGACGTTGCCGCTTATATTGAAAAGTAGCAACAACTTTTTTAATGGGACACCCTGTATATTATGCCATTTCCAGATTCTCCCTGGTGAGCTGATTCTAATGATCCATAACACTTGGTATCTAGCAGTGATAAATACAGAGTTATAGGGTGTGAAAAATCGAGAAAACAACATTTAATTTTTTGAATGGGATACCCTGTATATTATTCCTATTTCAGATTCTTCCTGCTATAAATCATTAGGATCAGCTCACCAGGGAGAATCTGGAAATTGCGTAATATACAGGGTGTCACATTAAAAAAGTTGTTGCTACTTTTCAATATAAACGGCAACGTCGCAACACTGAGAATATTTTGGGTTAATTAAACACAACTAATTATCTAAGGCATCAACTTTTCAGAATGATCCTGAGTTTCTCCAGAAACGTCTAATGTGCCATCCACCGTGAATCAGCCTGTATAATACATTCCAAATGCCATCAATATAAATCCCGATATAAATGCCAATGAATCTTATGTCATGTTATTCGGGCAGTAAAAGAATCGAAATGGAATTCATAACTCAATTGATATTTGTATTGAAAATAAATCACTGCAGTTAGTTCATGAAGCCAGGAGCCTCGGGGTTTTACTAGATGATAACCTGCGATACAAGAAACATATTATAAACAAATCAATTCAGCGGGCATATTCATCATTGATCATTGAAAATGATATATTAACTGGTACTTTCTTTCAATCAAATTGAAATCTATCATTTGTGACACCCTGGTTCTATCCCTCTTCAATTACGCGGATTCCTTGCATGGTCCATGCTTAACTAGTCAATACAAAAAAAAATACAAAAATACAAAGGACAAAACTCATGTTCGTGACTTATATGCGGAATTCGAAAATATGAGAGAATATCACATAAGCTTCTTGGAATTGGCTGGCTGAGCATGAAGAATAGAAGGATCCATCATGCTGCTAATTTATTTCACAACATATTATCAACGAAGACTCCACCATGCCTATTTTAAAATGTTCACACCTTGAATATCAGGTTCAAAGATACTTTAACACCACCCAAATTCAGAACGGAACAATTCAAGAGATCATTTAGCTACCACATTTGTGAAATCCATAACTCGCTTCCCAATGATATAAGACATGTAAAATCACAGAAATTCAGAAGAAAACTCAGGGATTATTTGTTCGACAACCAGTAATGAGGTGGCCGTGCCTCTTCTTCATTCTAACACTTTCTCAACACTATTCGCACATCCAGAAGATTTATCACCTACTATATATATATCGCCATTATGTATGTGCTGTTTCTTTCAATTTTCTTGATTATATTTATTAAAAATGCACCGTAGAGATTTTGTGAGGTTGAGTGGAAGTAGTGCAATTTGGTGACGCTTGCGTTATCCAAATTGAACTTCGCCTTTTGTTTTCCTATTTCTAGGTACTATGTTAATTCACTTTTAATAGGTATTGAAACTGGTGAAAACAATTGAGTCATTTATTATTATTATTATTATTATTACCATTATTAAGGGGTAGCTATCTATATTTTCCAACAAAATTCGAAAATTATTGTTTCTATCACTGATAGTTTCGAGTTGTCACTGATATTAATTAAATTCACCTATGTTGTGTAATCTGATCTGCGCAACGCCACTGTCAACTATAATTAATACTCACCATCAACTTGATACCTACAATAATAATGCGAACGAGCTTGCCATTATCACTCGTAAGCTTATATTCGTGATGTCAAAAACAATAATTTAACATATCTATTTAACAATGTTTGTTGGTAGGTATTTTCATGTTTTTGTTTGTGGTAAAAATAACATCGCTATACCTATACCAATAAATCGTTTCATATCAACAGATAATTTCTAATAGCTTTGGTCTAGCCTTATTATTTGTTTTTTAATGAGAATGAAAGTAATGATTCAGTTTTAATTTTTTGCTAGATCGTTAGTCGAGAAAGGATTTTATACACTATCCACTTGCATAACTTTACCATATCGATTAGATGCAAGTCTTAGGGAAAAGTGAACCAGTTGAATTGAGCAGGAAATAATTTCGCAGATTGTTGTATTGATTCATGCAATCATTTAAGTGACATTGGTGACAAGGGTTTTACAATGTTAGTGATAGTGATATGGTGATGATTTCAGAGGAACCCTTAAACAAACATGTAAGTCTTTCAGTGACATTATCAACATATCAATATTTAGATATAGACAAATGTGAACCCAACAAATCTTAATATTCAAAATTGCAATTAATAATATCGATCGATGATATCGATATCAATACATAAAAACAAAATGACAATATTTGATAAAAACAGAAGTGAAGTGACAAAACCCTACCATCGTCCACCAATATCATTTGTTAAAAAAAAATATGGGCCAAAGTCTTTCCTAATGAACTAAACCGACCAGATATAATCTCTTATGTTGAAATAATCCGAAACTTCAATAAAAAACCCCTGAAAAATATTTGAATAAAAGTAAAATACTATATTATGACTGATTATTTGGAATGTATGAGCTGATATTTGAGATTGCAGTATGTTCTAATGATATCAATATAGACATAAATAATAAGTAATAACATAGATCTAGATCTATGGTATTGATAAAAATAGTATTCTGCATCTCCTAGTTTTCTTTCACTTAGTTGCATTCAAACCATGCACCTGCTATTCCTGGCTACTGATAAGTATAGTGCTATTCATGATACAGGGTGAATTATAAGGAGACTCAAACAGCCAAATGGTGAATAGGGAAAATCAAGACGAGTTAGTAGTATAATATATCGATAATTTTTTGACCATTCGTAACGATGAGGATACAGTATATTACGTGAAATCGCCTTTGATTTTGATGGCCAATATTGTGGAAATGATTTATCGTAATTTGCTGAAATTTGACAGAAACGTTCCCATGCATATCAAAACTCCTCAGCAGGGCATATTATGAAGAAGAAATCCAGATTCGGGAAAAAATCATGTTTTATTATTTTATATCGAAAAATTTCACTTTGTGGTCACTTTTCCCTGAAAATTACATGACGCGATTCTGAAAATCAGACAAAATGCCATAGGAATTTCACTGTTCTTCGATTTGCCCGCCACACTTTGTCCAATTCCATGAAAAAATATTAAACGTTCGAAGGAATTCTCGATTTCGACCTCGTTGACAACTCAACTGGATTCATGTAAATTTATTTTTTGTATATTGTACATTTTCGTTGGAAAGCAATTGACAGAAGAGAGTATTTGAGACAATGAGGATAGTACTATGTAATGTCGAATTGGAATGTTAGTTTTTCAAAGAAGTTCTAGATGAAAATTATTATCAGTGCTACTTTGTTTCATGAATTTCAATTGATAGACCATTGCTGAAGCCTTTGAAAACGGTAGAGTGACAAAAAATCATATGAGGTCAAACCGATTGAAAAAGAAAGAGAATAATGTAACACAGATGGAAGGGAATAGTTATTTTCCTAACAAGTGCGGAAAGTGATTCTTTCCCGCACGCGACTGCCGTTGACACGAACGACGCGAAGCGGAGTTCGGGCAAGCAGTCGAGTGCAGGAAAGACACTTTCCGCATGAGTTAGGAACAATATTTTTTCTACAAGCGTAGGAAATTGATTGATTCGTTCAATTAATCATTCAAGCAAATAGGAACAACTAACAAGAGATATTTATTCTCTATCTACTAATTATTAGTCATAGCTATTGTGAACTTACAGTTTGACGCATTATGTTGGTTCATTGCGGAAGCCAGCAGGCCCATAAGTAGTTTGGTCTCTAGGTTTCAGACACTTCTATGAAATGAGCCAAAAATACCTATTCTTCATTCGGTATTTTCATTTCTTTATTGTTGCACCATTCAATAAAACGCGTGTATAGCTTCTCATACCTTTCTTAAGACCTCGTTGGTGATAACGCATCTGTATCGAATCCCTATAGCTAGAAGTTTTTGATCACATTGCGGCATTTCCACTGAATCGAAAATGACAGTAACGCTGTGTCTGTCACGACAATTTCAAACATATTTGAGGTTTGATTGGCATGACGAGCATGACAACAGTGATCGTTTCCCGTCAGATCAATCCAAATCTAAAGGGGGATTTTTATAATAATCAAATTTTATTTCTCAATATTTTTCAATTTTTACAATAAATAGTGCAATTTGATGGATGATTCTGAACATACAAACACAAACAAACTTAAACTTTAATATTTCATTACCAACCACTTATATTATTAGCGATTTCATCATATCTTTGTTTTCCCGCACTAGTGTGGGAACATTTTCCCGCACTGTTGCGGGAAAATGACACTGCCCAAACTAAATTGCGTGCGGGTATAGGGTGAATCACGCACGCTTGTAGAAAAAATATATTACGGACGATCTGAGGTCGGGAAGTGGTAGGGAGTGATTTTTCAAGGGTAAAAAAGGTGTATTTCGATATCCGGCAAAACTACAAGAGCCCCTCGAAGAGCCCTATATAGAAAAAATCTTCACATGACCTCAAAATGTATGTGAAAAATTCAGATAATCAAGTTTATGCTTTTTCTTTTTTATCTCTCACAAAAACATAATTTTGCCACGAACATTGGTAATTTTTCGCATGTTTTTTGCGAACTTAATTTTTAATGGATTTTGAATCTACTTGTTCATCATTGTTACACAATTTTCCAGTGTTAATTTCAATAAATAGCTCTAAATTGTACATAATGATTTCAAAAAAATGGATTCAGGTTTCGTTTCCTTGCATTTTCTGAGAACATTCACCAAATTGATGTATAGATCTTTCACACCATCAGAAAGTAAATATTTCAACAAAGAGAAAGCCATCAATTCCTTCGAAAAAGCTGATATTCTGACGCGAGAATTAGGGTGCTTTATCGATATTAAGTCAAAATAGGGTGAAAAAGAGAATATTTCATATCTCAAAAATCACAGTTTGAGACATGAAAATTTGAGTTTTCACACAATTCCGTGTCATTTTTTCTTCTGTTATTACCTACAACTTTGATACCATGATACCCAATTCTTTCCATATGACTTGTAGTTTTGCCAGAAATCCAGATTAACTGTTTTTTACCCTTAAAAGCTCACCCCCTTCCACTTCCCAACCTCAGACCGTAATTTATTCTTGCTTACATTTTTGTTATGTTCTCTTCCTTTTTCAATGAGTTTCATTCTATAATGTTTTTTGTTTTCACAAACTATGGACCCTGCTCTATGAAGTAATAATGAAATATCACGCCCTCTGTTTCTCATCGTGTAACGTGACATGACGTTTGTTGATAATCTGAACTGATAGGTATCAACCAACTGGTGAAATTACGGCGTGAAGATTTTCATGTGCCCATAGATGGTAAATTATCAAATTAGTTATGTTCTTGAGATACTTCTGCAAGTATAGATTTTCGAAATGTTCACCCTCGTGAAGGTTTCACTGCTAGGTATTCTCGAAGGTATTCTCGAATCTGTAGATCTCTTACATTGCAGCATTTTGATTTTGTCATGTTCAGCATTTGGAAAATGTAGTGGTATCTCGAGTGCAAGAATATTTTGGTTACCAGTGATTATCAACAAACGCCACGTCACATCATAAAATGAAAAACTGGACCTACTTCATATATTTTGAATGTTCACGGTGGATATTGTTTGGAAGTAAAAGCAGGATAGATCGATATTTCAGCGTTGAAACGAAACCCTCAATTTCGTTTATAATGTAGAAATACTCTTGGACATATTACTGAAAGTAGTCGGAACACCGACACAATAACTACCCGAACATAATCGCCGATATTTGTCAAATCGTTGAAACAGCTCAATAGACATTTTGTTGAAAATAGTAGAATTGCCGAAATAACTCTCTGGACCCAACGCCGAAAGTGGACAAAACAACTCCTAGGACATAATAACCGAAAGTGTTCATAACGTCCAAACAGCCTTTGGAACATATCCACGTGTCGAAGTCTTCCTCTATGACATGATAATTTTCAAGAGGCCGATTCTTGGACCCATTTCAAAACAAAAGTATCACAGTTGAAAATATGCATAGATTCTTATTTCGTCCACCCTGTATAGTCTTTCGTGATAGCAAAATTCAATCTGCTATGTGAAACGGCGAAATAATTTCAAAATGTTACATACTGTGGTTATCCAGTAATGGATGTCCTGAATGGAGTACTCAGCATAGCATTTACATCAAGATTTGTGGTCTCTTTTTTCCATTTTTTCTCGAAAACGAATGAGCGTTTTAGCAAGTATCAACAAATTGATTATTTTAGTACAGTATTGAGTAGCGTTTCATAACATTGTGTGAAATTTTCGAATTCTTCTTTGTTGCTCACTTTCAAGTGAAATGAAAACAATCATATTCCCCTAACGGCGCCACTGGAAATAAGATTGGCTAAATGATATATCACTATTCCGTTCGCCCTAAGGCATCACCAATTCATTGCAATATTTTCGATTTTTGTCAAGCTGTTGCCTAGTAATTGAATAAAACTAATAAATTTCTATCAACTTTAAATTAAGGACTTCTACGACATAGGTACAGGGTGATTCAAACTCCTCGCGCTTGGCTCATAATAGGAAATGAAAAACTGCAAATGCAAATTTGGCGCCGAGAATTCGAATAGCTGTAAGTGAGGTGTATTTGTCCGTATTTGAAAATCTCTCAGCCTCTCTCATAATGGCGGAAATGTCGTCACAAAAAATATTTTTCCCACAACGGTACCATTGTTTTCTCTTATCCTGAGAGAATATAT